AGTCCAGCAAGAGCCAATAGGTCTCCAGCCAGGACCCAAGGCCACCAAGCAAGACGAGGCCGAGCCTCTCCCAGGGCCTCTCTTGCATCCATGCTGAGACCTCTCTCTCTCTCTCTCTCTCTCTCCAGCACCTGAGGCAGCTGGCAGTCCCATGGGCCCCCCGAGCCACGCCACAATACAGGGGAAGGTGGTCATTGAAGGGAAGAAGATGGAAGCCCAGCCCAAGCCCACCAGAACCCCCCGGTCTCCTGCAAAACCTAGACGCCATGCAGGCCCTCCCAGGATCCGTAACTACAACCTGAAGGACTGACCATTCGGAGCTGTGTCCCTGCCAGTGCTTGGAGACCACACTTTCCCCAGCAATGGGCATGTGTGTAGAGCAGGCACTGGCCTGCAGAGCTGGCTGTGGACACTGCTGGGTGGCCAAACAGCCATTAAAGTGTCCACCTAGGCACTGGGTCAGCGGATCTCTGTCCTACTCAGTGTGTGTGTGTACCTAGACCAGGCCACCACCATGTATCACACACGTGTCCCCACTTGCTCACTGGGCCACAGAGTGTCCCACTTGGGTCTCCTGGACACAAGACACCAGAGGCCAGAAATTCCCATCCCTGACCAGGCTTCAGTGACGTCACCTTGCCTGCCCCAATGAATGGACAGACGGACAGGGTCTGCAGTCTTGCCAGCTTTGTGCTAGATGGTCTTCTCAGGGTGCCTCAGTCACCTAGCACCTTCCTATCCACCCCCTCAGTGACCCATCCCATCACCTGATGCCCAGCATGCTCTACGGCTCCCATCACCCCAGATATACAAAGCACACCCACTCTCCCCAGAAGCCCATCTGTCCTAGGGCATCTGTCAAGTGGCCTCATCTGGGGCACTTCCTCCCATCTGTTTTGCTACCGATGATGAGAACTGCCCTTGGAGAGGTGCTCCTGGGGTGGAGCCCACTTCTCCCTTTCAGAACCCTCCACCCTCGCTCCTTAAGGAGTTCTGGTAGCGTAGCGGTTACTAATCGGGCAGCGAACTGCAAGGTCAGCAGTTCGAAACTACCAGCTGCTCCGTGGGAGAAAGATGAGGCTTTCTGCTCCCGTAAAAACTTACAGCCTCAGAAACCCTGTTCAGGGTCGCTATGGGTCGAACCGACTCGATGGCACTTAACAACAACAAACCTCACTCCTTAGCCTGTCCACATGCAGCAGCCTCTGGAAAACCCCACCTGTCCTGGGCCTGGGGTAGCCCTAGCCTCTAAGGCCCCTGTAGCCATCCACTTGTCCTGACTCCTAGTCAGTGGCCTCAGGCAGCCTGGTGCCCCCTCAAAGCCACACCACAATGCAGGGGAAGGTGGACATGAAGGGAAAAAGGTGGAGCCCAAGCCCACCAGACACTCCCTCTCCCAATCTCCTACAAAACTCCATCATCACGGAGACCACCGGTTGAGAGCTGGCTTCACTTCACGTGGCTCCCTGTGCACAGCGGGCACCTTCAGACTGTAAAGGGGCATAGGCAGACTCATTGCAGATGGACTCTGTGCAGCTCTGCCACGACAATGGGCTTAGGCCCCTGCTGAGCCCCCCATGCCTTTGGCACAGTCTCGTGATCTCTTTTAGCCAGAGTCAGAAGAGGTGATCTCTTTCGTAGGTGAGTCTTCAACCCCTACCTGCTCTACATCCTAAGCCAGGTGATCCCATCACCCAGCCAAGGGCAGTAGCTGCAGAACCAAGGAGCTGCCATGCTCCCCGTGCCCCAGAACACAAGGACTGACCGGTAAGCCTGAAGAGGAAGCCCGGACAGTCAGGTTACACCATCAAGTGCAGACAAAGCCAGGTTTTTGGCACAGGCTGGTGGGGACTCTTCCACTGTCTGGCTAGGGGCAGGAAGGGAAAGACGGCTGAGTGTGAGGTCTGGCTCCTTGTCCTCTGTACTCTCACTGCGCCTCCATGGGCTGGGTGTAGCTGACGGTGGCAGGAAGGTGAGGAGGGGGTAGAAGCAGAGTGTGCTAGCCCTCTCCTGTCTAGGCGTCTGGAGCCCCAAAGCAGGGCGTGTCAGCTGACCCACCAGGACTTGGCCCCAGGGCCCACTGGTTACTCTTCGTCTGGAAGAGCAATTTTTGGACAGTTCGAACATCTGAGCAGGGGTTACCAGGGAAGAAGGACCGGTGAGCCACTGCGGGAGCTCGCTGGTGCACTCCCCGTCTATGTGCCCGTGTGTAAATATCCCTGGGGGGGGGGGGAGATGAGTGCGCATGCGCAATGTGTCCACACGTGTGTGCCATGTGTGAGTACACGCTGTAGAAAACTCCCATCCTCCGCCCGGGCGGTCTAGGGGCAGCTCCTTTGTCCGCATCCCACCAAGTGAGCGTCTGGGCCGCCTCTCTCTCTCCCTCCCCATGGCCCGCATAGTGGGGGCGGCAGCTGGGGAGGGGGCGCCGGGTCTCAGTGTAGCTGGTATTTGCAGGAAAGCGTCTGCCGGCCTTGCTAGGTCCGAGCCGCGTAGGTAGGACTCGCTGCGGTGACCGGCAGTAACCCCGCCAGGGGCACCCTCGGTTAGGTCAACGACCGCGCTAGCGCCGCGGAACTCGCGCCTCTGCCGGCGCCCCCGCCCCTGTCCCATCACCCTATCGCCTAGCAACGCCCCCTCGCTCACCGCCATTGGGCCGGCGCGCACGCCCCCAGAGCCTGGTTGGCCACAGCGGGGGCCCGAGCCACGCCCCCTGGCTCTGAGCGGACCGCGGCGTGGATCCCAAAGCCACTGGCGCATCCGTGGGCCGGGGTCGGGAAGAGTACCCGCTCTCTGGAGCACAGCCCGCGTCCCCACTGTTCCCCCCCCACTCTGACCCCAGTGTAACCTAAGCACACCCCGGCCTACGGGGAGCCCCTGCCGCGGCACCCACGCACACGTGGCCACGACCGACTAGCGGGGGTGGTGGGTCGCGGGCTCGGTCCCCGGCGCTGCGCTGCGTGTGCGTTCCGAGCTGTTCCGCGCCGAGAACCTGGCCCGCGAGGGCGGGGACGGAAGTCGGGGGGCGGGGGGGGGAACCAACCGCTTGTGCCCGCCCCCGGCGGCGCCCCCCCAGTCCCCAGGGGCCACTTCCCGGGCCCCGCCCGTGCGCGCCCCCGCGCAGGGTCCCAGCGGCGGCGCGCACGGGGAATCACCCCACTCTCCGCGGTGCGCCGGGCCCCGGGGCGCAGCCCCGACGCTCATTGGCCTGGGCGGCGCAGCCAAGCTGTCAGCCCATGTGGCGTGGCCGCCTGGGGATGGCCGCGGTTTAAATAGAGTCGGCGCCGAGCTAGAGGGAGCCAGAGAGAAAGGCGCCGCGGCCTCTGCTCCGCCCGCCTCCGCGCTCCATCCTTCGCCTCCGCGCCGCCGCCGAGTGCCCGCCGCCCGCACTTGCAGCCCACACCCGCCAAGCCTCAGGTACGAGCGGCCGGGCCAGGGGCAGAGCTGGAAGGGGACGGTGGAAACGGGGACAAAGCCGGGGCCGGAGGACCACGAGGTCGAGGGGACTGTGACACAGCCGGGAGCTTGATGGGACAGAGGTGGGGCCGGAGACCACGAGGCTGGGCTACAGAACCAGGAGGCTGGGAGGACGGGGGTCACAGTGTGGGCCGGAGCCTGGTTGGAGGGCCTGGGATGGGCCCAGGTCAGAGTCTAGGCCTGGCCAAGGGGATGATGGAGCTGAGGTTGGGGAACCTCGGGCCAGGGGGGATGGTGGTCGCCTGGAGAACAAAATCGGAACCTCCCGCGGACAGTGCGTGCCCTCCTACGAGGGCCCCCCAGTCCGCCTTCCCCGGCAACCCTGCCTCCCCTTGAATTGGTGCCCGACCTCGCGGGTGTCTCGGGTGGGCTGAGGGGTCCGAAGCCCGGCTGTGGCAGATGAAGAGGCGCTGGGTAGGGGGGCTCGAAGCGCGTGTAGAGAAGGCCAGCGAGCAGCCAGCCATCTTGGTCTGGGGCAAGCCTGGCTCCACGGACCCCCGGAACTGGAGGAAGTCCCTGGCCAGACGTGCACCCACAAAGGCAGTAGGATCCGGGCCGCCGGCATCTCTGGCTTTGCTGGGGGAGGGGGGACACCGAAGGCTGGACCAAACCCTGGGAAGGGCCGTCTTACCGAATACCCTGGGAAGGATGGCGGCGGCTGGGGGAGGGGGGGGAGGGTCCCTGTCACGTGGGAACTGCCCCGGGCGCTACCGCCCCACCCCCGCCTGGTGCTGGTGGAGTTCTGGCTGACTGATGTTGGAACCACCCGGAAAGGCTAGCAGCCTGAGGCTCCCACCGTCGCTCTCAGCCAGAACTCTGCGGGAATAGCAAGTAGGCCAAACAGTGGACCCCCTCCCCCCCTAGTGGCAAAGGCCTTTACCTTGGTGGGGGTGCTGGCGGAGAGGAAGCCTGGCTGCTCACAGGAAGAAGTCTCCCAGGGTCGGGGGATGGGCAAAGATGTCAGGGCCAGCCCTGCTAGTGCCCTTGTCCAAGAGCCTGTTCAGGAGCCCTGGAGTGGGTCTGGCTCTGGGGTCCCTTCTCAGACCTAAGTTGGGGGCTCCCATTGTAGGATGGGCAGCAGGCAAGGAGCCTTGGCCTGGTCTGCAGAGCCCGGTGCACATGGTCTGCCCCCAGTGGGACAGGGGCCACCTTTCCCCCAGAGCTTTGCCTTGGCATTCTGAGTGCTCAGGCCTGAGGGCACCATCCAGGCACTGCTGGACACACAGATCCGGAAGCCAGGGTGACCTGTGGAAGTTGAGCCTAAGACTAGCTGGCCAGCAGGAGTGGACACTTTTCCCCAGCCCCTCAGTCCTGACCCTTCCGTTTCCTCGAGCCAGCTCCCTCCTCATTATCTGTCTTTAGAGCACCCCCAGCTCATGTTCCGTAACCCCAAATCGATTTCTGGTGGGAACACGCTGTAGAGAGAGGGGCTGCACCCACGTGGTCCTGCCTGCTGTGGGATTTTCCGGACCCGGGGTCAGCCAGGCCTGGGGCCCTCACACCTGCCCACCTTCCCCAGGTCAACCATGGAGGAGGTGGTAATTGCCGGCATGTCTGGGAAGCTCCCGGAGTCTGAGAACTTGCAGGAGTTCTGGGACAACCTGATCGGTGGTGTGGACATGGTCACAGATGACGACCGGAGGTGGAAGGCCGGTGGGTGGACAGGCCTGGGGCAGCTGGGGTATACAAGTATTGGGGGAGGCTGGCTGGGAAACCTAGTGGGGAAGGCCAGTCTAACCCAAATGTCCCAACCGTCAGATAAGACCCACTTTCAGGAAGTTGCCTGACTCGCCCCGCCTTAGCCAGGGCGGCCCTACCTGATCAGCAGGTGTGAGTCAGCGTGCTGGGGCCGGGAGGGGCAGGCCAACAGGGGTCTCTAGCAGATTTGCTCGGGGGTCACACAGTTGCCTAGTGGACTACAGACCCCATGGAGCCTGAGCCCTCTCCCGCCTGGCTCTCCTCCCAGCTTCTTACTCTATGGTTGGTTGGTCCTGAGACTTAGCTTCCTGGTGCCTGGGTTGGAGGAACAACCTGTGCCCCCCTCCCACCCACCTGTCCCCCAGGGCTCTACGGTCTGCCCCGGCGGTCAGGAAAGCTGAAGGACTTGTCCAAGTTCGACGCCTCCTTCTTTGGGGTCCACCCCAAGCAAGCTCACACAATGGACCCTCAGCTCCGGCTATTGCTGGAAGTCACCTATGAAGCCATCTTGGATGGAGGTGGGTGGCCAGGAAGTCATTGGGGGGAGGGCAGGGGGATTCTGAGTGACTTGTGCTCAGAATGGGGCATTTGAGGTGCAGATGTGGGGTGCCTGCCACCTCCCAGCATGGGGGTTTATACACTGGCCTCCTGGATCTCAGGATAGATGGCAGATGGAAAGGAGACTGGGCATCCCTTGGACTTGAAGAAACTCAGCCACGTCCCTTACGCAAGCCCGCATCCCTGTATTTGCACAGCCTCGTGCCTGCCTCCTGTCCTTTGCTCTCCCCTTGAGGGCATTATGCCTGTCCCTCTTCGCTGAGTTTCTGCTTGGGTTGGGTCTTTCATAGTGGCAGAGGGGGAGCCAGCTGAGGCCTCCTCCCTGTCTCTGAAGCTCCCTCTGAGTCTGATGGGTGTGATGCTGGGTGCGGGCAAGGCCTTTTCCCCAGGCTGGCCTCGTCTTTTCCATCCGAGTCTTGGACACTCGGCCTTTGTCTCCTCTGACCCCTTATCGTGGCCTTCCCACGGCCTTGGAGGGCAGGCGCTCACTGGCCAGCAGGGTTTGCCAGATCTGCTGCTGCAGCACCGGAGCAGGGGAGTTGCTGAGACAATGCTCCCTTCTGTCCTCCCCCGGCCTGCTCTCAGGGCCCGAGCAGGCCCACAGCCCCGTCTAGTGCCCATTTCCTCCATGGCTCCATTCTCAGTTTCCCACCTGGGCTGTTCACCGCCCGGCTTGGCACACAGACTGGGCCTGTTCCCTGTCTCCTTTTTGGTGGGTGAGTGGAGTGTACCTGCCTTAATGGGGTCTGACTTCGGCTTCCGGCAGGCATCAACCCGGCGTCCCTGCGAGGTACTAACACCGGTGTCTGGGTGGGCGTGAGCGGCTCTGAGGCCTCCGAGGCCCTGAGCCGGGACCCCGAGACGCTTGTGGGTTACAGCATGGTGGGCTGCCAGCGGGCCATGATGGCCAATCGCCTGTCCTTCTTCTTCGACCTCAAAGGTGAGTGGCCAGTGTGTACGCGTGCCCCATGGGGTGCTTCAGTGAGCTAGGCCGGGCCCCCGGCCCCAGTGCCTGTTCAGCGTGGTGCTCGGGTGGGCACAGTCCTCACGACACATCCCTGCAGGGCCCAGCATTGCCCTGGACACAGCCTGCTCCTCCAGCCTGCTGGCCCTGCAGAACGCCTTCCACGCCATCCGCCGTGGGGAGTGCCCCGCGGCCATCGTGGGCGGAATCAACCTGCTGCTAAAGCCCAACACCTCAGTGCAGTTCATGAAACTGGGCATGCTTAGTCCCGAGGGTACCTGCAAGTCCTTCGATAAAGACGGTGAGCCCACGAGCAGGGGGCCGGGAGCAAGCTGGGGCGGTGTCCCTGCCTGGGTGTCCATTCCCTGAGATGATGCTGTGTTCTCTCAGGTAACGGTTACTGCCGATCCGAGGCTGTGGTTAGTGTCCTGCTCACCAAGAGGTCCCTGGCCAAGCGGGTGTACGCCACCATCCTGAACGCAGGCACCAACACAGATGGCTACAAAGAGCAAGGTGGGCCCCGGGAGGCAGGGTTGCTCAAAGACGGTGTGACCACTGCCCTCCACCCCTGGTCTGAAGCATTTCTTTCCCCAGGTGTGACCTTCCCCTCTGGAGAAGCTCAGGAGCAACTGGTTAGCTCGCTCTATGAACCGGTCGGACTGACCCCCGCGTCCCTGGAGTATATTGAAGCCCACGGCACTGGCACCAAGGTGAGGCTTCATCTGCCGGCCCCCTGCCTGCTCAGCACAGGTGGTGGGACGGAGCCATGAGCTTCCTGTGCTCCCCACAGGTGGGTGACCCCCAGGAGCTGAATGGCATCGTCCGTGCCCTGTGTACCACCCGCCAGAGCCCACTGCTGATCGGGTCCACCAAGTCCAACATGGGCCACCCCGAACCCGCCTCAGGGCTTGCCGCCCTCACCAAGGTAGGCTCCTCCGCAGGGTGCTCACGCCATCTGTGGTCACTGTCCGCCTTGTGAACAGGCAGCAGCTGGTCTCTTCTGGGTAGCGAGAATCGATTCTAACAGGAGGGAAGAGATGCGGGTGGATGTGGCCGGCGGCCAGCAGGCAGGGCACTGGCCCCACCTGACAGGCAGGCTCAGTTGGGTGTGCCTGCTGTGTGCTGGGAGGACATGTCTGCTGGCCCATTCACGTGACCAAGGAGGTTGGGGACCCCCTGGTAGACTGGAGCCCACCCTGCCTTATCCTGCCTGGCTCTAAGCTAAGCAGAGAGTAGGCCCTGGTGGGGTGGATCCTGCCGGGTAGACTGTACAGGGAGTTTAGGGTGGTCCTATGGTGAGACTGGCACGTGGCTGGAGACCACCCACCCATGCATCCTGCCCCCCCACACACACTGCTGTAGGTACTGCTGTCCCTGGAGCATGGGCTGTGGGCCCCCAACCTCCACTTCCACCATGCCAACTCTGAGATCTCAGGGCTGCAGAACGGACAGCTGAGGGTGGTGGACCGACCCCTCCCGGTTAGTGGAGGCCTCGTGGCCATCAACTCCTTCGGCTTTGGTGGTTCCAACGTCCATGTTATCCTCAAGCCCAACGCTGTGCGGCCCCCGACACCCACCCTGCCCGCCCTGCCCCGACTGCTGCGGGCCAGTGGACGTACTCTGGAGGCTGTCCAGAGCTTGCTGGAGCAGGGTCAGAAACACAGTGAGGACCTGGCCTTCCTTAGTATGCTCAATGACCTCGCGGCCACCCCCACCTCTGCCATGCCTTTCCGAGGTTACGCTGTGCTGGGCAGCCAGGGCAGTGGCCAGGAGGTGCAGCAGGTCCCGGGCACTAACCGTCAGCTCTGGTTCATCTGCTCAGGTGAGCTCTGCCCCCGCCTCTGTCCTTCCCCTCCCTCCCTCCCTGGCTGCGCCTCCCCTGGCCCGCCCCCAACCCCCGGCCCCTCTCCCCACCAGGCATGGGCACGCAGTGGCGCGGGATGGGACTGAGCCTCATGCACCTGGACAGCTTCCGCGAGTCCATCCTGCGCTCAGACGAGGCTGTGAAGCCCTTTGGGCTAAAGGTATCGCAGCTGCTTCTGAGCACTGAGGAGAGCACGTTCGATGACATTGTCAACTCGTTCATCTGTCTCACTGCCATTCAGGTGCGTGGCTCCCCGGGAGGTGGCAGCAGAGGGCATGGGGAGGGGCCGGCCGGCGAGAGCTGCCCGTGAGCACACACGGTACCATCCCCAGATCGCGCTCATTGACCTGCTGACCGCCATGGAGCTGCGGCCAGACGGCATCATCGGGCACTCGCTGGGCGAAGTGGCCTGTGGTTATGCAGATGGCTGCCTGTCTCAGGAGGAGGCGTTGCTGGCCGCCTACTGGAGGGGTCAGTGCATCAAGGAGTCCAACATCCCGCCAGGCGCCATGGCGGCCGTGGGTAGGTGTTCAGCCTTGTTAGTCCCGAGCTCCCAGGACTGGATGAGAGCGGTGGGGTGGGGGGGACGACCTGGTGCTGCCGGCGGGCTGATCCAAGGAACCCCAAGAGCAGGGCTGTCATTACCTGTCCCGAGACGGGGATAATGACACTTTCCCAAGATCAAACATGCTGGAGAGAGTGCTTGTAAAGGCTGTGTGGCGGTGGTCATTACCAAGCCTCCTCCTGCCCGCAGGCCTCTCCTGGGCCGAGTGCAAAGAGCGCTGCCCACCTGGCGTGGTGCCCGCCTGCCACAACTCCGAGGACACCGTCACCATCTCCGGGCCTAAGGTGAGTCGGGGAAGCTGGGAGGCAGCTCTGGGACACAGCGTCCCCCTGTGGTGGCCTTCGCTCTGCCCTGATGCTGCCTTTTCCTCAGGCTGCTGTGTCTGAGTTTGTGGAGCAGCTGAAGCAGGAAGGCGTGTTTGCCAAGGAGGTGCGGACAGGCGGCATGGCCTTCCACTCCTACTTCATGGAGTCCATCGCACCCACGCTGCTCCAGGCGCTGAAGCAGGTGGGCACCGGCGCAGGGGTGTGTGCAGGGGTGGGGGGTACACACTGCTCCCCCAGGTACTGACCTGGTGTTTGCTGCAGGTGATCCGTCAGCCGCGGCCTCGCTCACCACGGTGGCTCAGCACCTCTATCCCCGAGGCTGAGTGGCAGGGCAGTCTGGCGCGCACCTCCTCAGCCGAGTACAGTGTTAACAACCTTGTGAGCCCTGTGCTGTTCCAGGAGGCGCTTCGGCATGTGCCTGAGCACGCCGTGGTGTTGGAGATTGCACCCCACGCCCTGCTGCAGGTGCGAGCCACCACCAGCCCACGTGGGCCAAGAGCCGGGGGCGGGGAGTGGGGGGGTTTGGTTCACAAGGGAAGATGGGTGTAAGGAGATGAGGGTTCCTCAGGGAAAGACCCCAGCCCCCGCCTGCCCCCCCAGGCTGTCCTGAAGCGAGGCCTCAAGTCCAGCTGCATCATCACTCCGCTGATGAAGAAGGGCCATCCGGATAACTTGTTTTTCTTCCTCACCAACATCGGCAAGCTCCACCTCTCTGGGTAGGCACGGGCCAGGGCACCCCGCTTTGGCGTCTAGAAGTCTTGAAGTGGGTGCCCAGGGATGCTTGCTGAGTCCCCCGCTGCCCCCCTCATGCTCCTCTTCTCACCAGCATCGACGTCAACCCCAATGGCCTCTTCCCGCCCGTGGAGTACCCGGCCCCCCGGGGTACCCCGCTCATCTCGCCCCTCATCAAATGGGACCACAGCCAGACCTGGGATGTACCTTCTGCAGGGGACTTCCCCGATGGTTCCAGCTCTTCCTCCTCCGTTGTCTACAACATTGGTGTGGGGCCTTGGGTGAACGGACCGGTGGGCAGGTGGACGGGCAGTGGGCAGGAGAGGAGGACTGAGACCCTTGTGTCCCGTAGACACCAGCACCGAGTCCCCTGACCACTATCTGGTAGACCACTGCATTGACGGACGTGTCATCTTCCCTGCCACCGGCTACCTGTGCCTGGTCTGGAAGACACTGGCCCGCACACTGGGCCTGGTCATGGAACAGATGCCGGTGGTGTTTGAGGATGTGACCCTGCATCAGGCCACCATCCTGCCCAAGACTGGTGAGTCCCAGGCAGCTGGGGGCGGGAGGTAGCCTAGATGGAGGACATACTGACCTGTGCCTACTGACCACAGGGACTGTGCCCTTGGAGGTGAGACTTCTTGAGGCCTCATGTGCCTTTGAGGTGTCTGAGAACGGTAACCTGATCGTGAGCGGTGAGTGGGGGTCCCGCGGGGGCTGCGGGGTGGGGGTGCTGTGGGGGCTGCTGGGCTGGTGGGGGGCTGCTGTGCGCTGCTGGGGCCTGAAATGCTCCTCGCTGCCCCGCCCACAGGAAAAGTGCAGCGGTGGGAAGACCCCGACCCCAAGATCTTCGACAACCGTGATGGCCTGCCCCCAGCAGACCCCAAAGCCACCTTCCACCTGGCCCAGGGTGACGTGTACAAGGAGCTGCGTCTGCGTGGCTATGACTACGGCCCCCACTTCCAGGGCATCCTGGAGACCAACCTCGAAGGTGGGTCAGTGTGGACAGCAGGTGGGCTTTGCTATTCACTCGTGCACAGAGGACTCCTCGGTCCTGGGCTGGGGGTCCCTAGGGCATGTGTGACCCCGACTCCCCGCAGGCACGACGGGCAAGCTGCTATGGATGGACAACTGGGTGACCTTCCTGGACACCATGCTGCAGATGTCCATCCTGGGCTCCACCCAGCGCAGCCTGCGTCTCCCCACCCGCATCGGTGCCATCCACATCGACCCCACCACTCACCAGCAGAGGCTGCGGGACCAGGCACAAGGTAGCCCTGCGCCCCCCCCCCAGCAGCCCCCGGCCCCCCGACATACACACACACTCACTGTCCATCCGTGTGTCCGCAGCAGCCGACGTGGTGGTGAACAGTTGTCTGGGTAGCACGTCGGCAGGCAGCGTCCTCATCTCACGCCTGCACGCCACGGTGGCCCCACGGCGCCAACAGGAGCAGCTGAACCCGGTCCTGGAGAAGTTCTGTTTTTCACCGTACCTGGAGTCCGAGTGCTTGGCGGACAGTGAGGTCCTGCGGGCAGAGCTACAACTGTGTGCAGGTGAGGCCCAGCCTTCCCTGGAGCCCCCAGCCCACCAGGACCCTGACCCAGTGGACCAAGGCCCTAGTGCCTGCCTCTCCTTCCCCAGGCCTGGCAAAGACTCTGCAGACCAAGGCAGCCCAGAAGGGACTGAAGATGGCCGTGCCCGGGCTGAGCGGGGCCTCAACTCCCCAAGGCCCCCCGACGCATGGTGTGGCGCGGCTGCTGGCAGCCGCCTGCAAGTTGCAGCTCAATGGGAACCTGCAGCTAGAACTGGGTCCAGCACTGATCCAGGAGCGCCTCCTGCTGGCCGATGACCCCCTACTGGCTGGTCTCCTGGACGCGGGGGCCCTCAAGGCGTGTGTGGACACTGCCCTGGAGAATCTGAGTGGTCTGCGGATAAAGGTGGTAGAGGTGAGTATGGGCATGAGGACTGCGTGCCCGAGTCTCGGGACAGAGGGCCTTGTGGTCCTGGGATCCCAGGCAGCTAGTCCAGGAGGCTGTTCCCTGTAGGTGCTGGCAGGTGAGGGTCACCTGTATGCCCGCATCCCGGGGATGCTCAACACGCAGCCCATGCTGCAGCTGGACTACACGGCCACCGACTGCCAGGCACAGACCCTGAAGGCTGTGCGAGCCCGCCTACAACAGTACGACGTGGCCCAGGACCAGTGGGACCCCTCAGAGCCTGCACCCGGCAGCCTGAACGCTGCTGACCTCCTGGTGTGCAACTGTACCGTGGCCACCCTGGACGACCCCGCCACGGCTATCCGCAACATGGCAGCGGCCCTCAAGGAGGGCGGTTTCCTCCTGTTGCACGTCCTGCTCAGGGAACACATGCTGGGGGAGACAGTCACCTTCCTCACAGGAGGTCACCTCCTAAGCCAGGTGCTGGGCCCTGCAGGGAGGGGCTGGGGCGGGGGCCTGCATGCGGGCGAAGTCACTGACCCCTCACCTCCCGCAGGACGAGTGGGAGGACCTCTTCAGCGCGGCCTCCCTGTGCCTGGTGGGGCTGAAGCGTTCCTTCTATGGCTCCGCCCTCTTTCTGTGCCGCCGGCCCACTTCCCCGGAGAGCCCTATCTTCCTACCCGTGGAGGACACCAGCTTCCGATGGGTGGACTCGCTGAAGGTCAGCGCCCGCCCACCCCCATTTCGCCCACCTGCCTGCATCGCTCTAGGCTGACCCTTCCTGTTCCCCTCGCAGAACATCCTGGCCGACGGCTCCTCTCGTCCAGTGTGGCTGACAGCCACTGGCTGCACCACCTCAGGCGTCGTGGGTTTGGTTAACTGTCTTCGCAAGGAGCCGGGGGGCCACCGCGTGCGGTATGACCCCTCCGCCTTGCCGTCTCCCCACCTTGTGTCACCCACCCCTCTCCTCCTCCTCACGTCCTGCCTGTCCACAGGTGCGTCCTAGTGTCCAACCTCAGTAGCTCATCGCCTGTGCCCCCAGTGGACCCGAGCTCCCCAGAGCTGCAGAAGATGCTGCAGAGGGACCTGATGATGAACATCTACCGCGACGGCGCCTGGGGGGCCTTCCGCCACTTCCCTTTAGAGCAAGGTGAGCCCCTCCCCACCCTCTCCCCCAGTCCAGGTTCTGGTCCTTGCCTGGCCCCCGACAGCCTGGCCTCCTGCTTCCTGCAGACAAACCAGAGGAGCAGACGGAGCACGCCTTTGTGAACGTGCTGACCCGTGGGGATCTCTCCTCCATTCGCTGGGTGTGCTCACCCTTGCGCCACGCCACACCCACTGGTCCAAACACCCAGCTCTGCCGCATCTACTACGCCTCGCTCAACTTCCGTGATATCATGCTGGCCACGGGCAAGCTGTCCCCCGACGCCATCCCAGGTACCACACAGTCTGCTGGGCTGGGCCCCTAGGAGAAGGACCCATGAGGGCATGTGGGGGCTCTTAGGGTCCCTGCGGCATTGGGGTGCACAGGGCTCACCTGAGGTTCCCTTCAGGCAAGTGGGCTGCCCGGGACTGCATGCTGGGCATGGAGTTCTCAGGCCGAGACACCAACGGCAAGCGTGTGATGGGGCTGGTGCCCGCCGAAGGTCTAGCCACCTCTGTCCTGCTACCACCGGACTTCCTCTGGGACGTTCCCTCTGGCTGGTGAGTATCAGGTCATGGGGGCTCCTGGGGGCCTTCAGTGCTCAGCTCCAGCTGACTCAGTTCCCTCACACCCTTAGGACCCTGGAAGAGGCGGCCTCGGTACCTGTGGTCTACACCACAGCCTACTACTCGCTGGTGGTGCGAGGCCGCATCCGACGAGGAGAGACGGTGCTTGTGCACTCTGGTTCGGGAGGCGTGGGCCAGGCCGCCATTGCCATCGCCCTCAGCCTGGGCTGCCGCGTCTTCACCACTGTGGGCTCGGCTGAGAAGCGTGCCTACCTGCAGACCCGCTTCCCACAGCTCTGCGAGGACAGCTTCGCCAACTCCCGGGACACCTCCTTCGAGCAGCACGTACTGCAGCACACAGCAGGCCGAGGTGAGCCAAGGCCCAGAGGGAGGGACTGTGCCTGCTCTGAGCCCTGCTGGTGGGCCGGTGGCGGGCAGAACCTGAGGACCCCTGGCCTGTCTCACAGGCGTCGACCTAGTCCTGAACTCCCTGGCGGAAGAGAAGTTGCAGGCCAGCGTTCGATGTCTTGCCCAACACGGCCGCTTCCTCGAGATTGGCAAGTTTGACCTGTCCAACAACCACGCACTTGGTGAGTGAGGCCGGGCCGATGTGGTGGGGAGGGGGCGGCGTAGCTGCTGCAAGGAGCTGGGAGTGAACCGCCCATCCGCCCGTCTGCTCCCCGCCCCCAGGCATGGCCGTGTTCCTGAAGAACGTGACCTTCCATGGCATCCTACTGGATGCTCTTTTTGAGGACGCTGGCGCCGACTGGCGGGAAGTGGCGGCCCTGCTGCGGGCAGGCATCCGTGACGGTGTGGTGAAGCCCCTCAAGTGCACGGTGTTCCGAAAGGACCAGGTGGAGGACGCCTTCCGCTACATGGCACAGGGCAAGCACATTGGCAAGGTGGTGGTCCAGGTGAGGCCCGGGCCAGGATGGGCTGGTGGTGGGTGGCAGGTGGGCCCCTTCACGCAGCTTCCAGAACCAGTGGTGCCGCCGACCTGCAGGTACAAGAGGAGGAACAGGGCACGGTGCTGCCGGTTGGTCAGCCCCCCCTGACACTAGCCATCTCCAAGACCTTCTGCCCAGCCCACAAGAGCTACATCATTGCCGGTGGTCTGGGAGGCTTCGGCCTGGAGCTGGCCCAGTGGCTCATGCTGCGGGGAGCTCAGAAGCTTGTCCTGACCTCCCGCTCTGGGATCCGGACAGGTAGGAGGCTGTGTGGGCTTGGTCTGGGGGCACTCTCGATCCAGGGGGCTTGGTGAGGGCAGTGCACCCGTGCCAGCCTGTCCAGCGCCCTGCGCCCCACAGGCTACCAAGCCAAGCAGATCCGCGAGTGGAGACGCCACGGTGTCCAGGTGCTTGTGTCTACTAGCAACGCCAGCTCGCTGGAAGGTGCACGGGGCCTCATCACAGAGGCCTCACGACTCGGGCCTGTGGGGGGAGTCTTCAACCTGGCCATGGTGAGAGTTGGCTCCGCAGGGTGTCTGGTGCCAGGGGGCAGAGGGGTCCAGGGCAGGGTTTGGAGTGGGGGGCCCAGTGGAGCTGCCACTGAGGCCCTGCTTGCATAGGTGCTGAGAGATGCCATGCTGGAGAACCAAACCCCGGAGTTCTTCCAGGACGTTAATAAGCCCAAGTACAGCGGCACACTGAACCTGGACAGGTGAGCCCTTATGCTTCTTGGCCGCTGGCTGGCCGTGTTGAATGGGCTCCCGCTGCCAGAGCCCACCCCGGGGCACTCTGGGAGCGCAGGCTCTTCATCCTCGAGCTAGCTGCCCCCAAGGGTGGGCAGGTAGGGCTGACTCTTGTCCCCGCAGGGTGACCCGGGAAGCTTGCCCCGAGCTGGACTACTTCGTGGTTTTCTCATCCGTGAGCTGTGGGCGCGGCAATGCCGGCCAGACCAATTACGGCTTCGCCAACTCCGCCATGGAGCGGATTTGCGAGCAGCGCCGGCACAGTGGTCTCCCAGGTGGGCTGCCTGCCCCAGCCCCATCCTCCTTGCTCACCCACACCTTGGTCTCCCAGGTGGGCTGCCCGCCCCAGCCCCAGCCCCCTTGCTCACCCACACCTCCACCTGCAGGCCTGGCGGTGCAGTGGGGTGCTATTGGCGACGTTGGCATCATACTGGAGGCCATGGGCACCAACGACACGGTCATCGGCGGCACGCTGCCCCAGCGCATTGCTTCCTGCCTGGAGGTGCTCGATCTCTTCCTGAACCAGCCCCACCCTGTGCTGAGCAGCTTCGTGCTGGCCGAGAAAAAGTCCGCTGCACATGGCGAGGGTGATGGCCAGCGGGACCTGGTGAAGGCTGTGGCGCACATCCTGGGTGAGCACAGCGAGGGGGGCGCAGAGGCATCCTGCTCCCCCAGGGCCTGTGTGCTGACCGCGCATGTGCCTCCCCAGGGATCCGAGACCTCACAGCCATCAGCCTGGACAGCTCCTTGGCTGACCTCGGTCTGGACTCGCTCATGGGCGTGGAGGTGCGGCAGACGCTGGAGCGCGAGTACGACCTGGTGCTATCCATGCGGGAGGTGCGGCAGCTCACACTGCGCAAGCTGACTGAGCTGTCCTCGTCGGAGGCGTCAGCCAACGGTGCGTGCCCCGACTCTCAGGAGGGTCCCTCACCGGTGCCCTCGTAGGAGGGTCCCTCCTTGCTGACTGCATCTCCTCAGTGTAGGCGTGTTCTGCAGTCACTAAGACAGGTTGGAGCGTGCGTGAGTGACCACGTGTGCAGGCGCTCCCAACCTGCCTTCACCGAGGCCGTTTTCTCACAGAGCTGACATCGCCCAGGCCCAAGGAAAAGGACCCGGCAGTCCAGCATCAGGCCCAGCTGAACCTGAGCACACTGCTGGTGAATCCCGAGGCCCCAACACTGACGCGACTCAATACAGTGCAGAGTTCGGAGCGGCCGCTCTTCTTGGTGCACCCCATTGAGGGCTCCATCACTGTCTTCCGCAGTCTGGCTGCCAGGCTGAGCATCCCCACTTATGGCCTGCAGTTCACCCGAGGTGGGAGCTGGTGTGCAGCCACGGGGGGGCAGGTGGTGGCTGGGCCTCCGCCCATAGCTGCCCCACTGAGCCCCACCCCGTGCATTTGCAGCCGCCCCTCTGGACAGCATCCAGAGTCTAGCTGCCTACTATGTGGACTGCATCCGGCAGGTGCAGCCTGAGGGCCCATACCGCATCGCCGGCTACTCCTACGGGGCCTGCGTGGCCTTCGAGATGTGCTCTCAGCTCCAGGCCCAGCAGGGCCCCGCCCACAACAGCCTCTTCCTGTTTGATGGCTCGCACACCTATGTGCTGGCCTACACGCAGGTGAGCCGGGGTCCCGGGCAAAGGTCTGTCGCTCCGCTCTCCCTGCACGGCCAGCCCGCTCACCCTCAGGTACCTGCTTGACGACAGCACAAACTCCCCTTTGCAGAGCCACCGAGCCAAGCTGACCCCGGGCTGCGAGGCCGAGGCCGAGACTGAAGCCATGTGCTTCTTCGTGCAGCAGTTCACTGACGCCGAGTACAGCAGGGTGCGTCTGGGGCTGGGGCTGGGGCTGGGGCTGGGGCACGTAGGCCTCGTGCTGAGAGCTCACCCCCGCAGGTGCTGGAGACTCTGCTCCCACTGAAGAACCTGGAGCAGCGTGTGGCGGTCGCAGCAGACCTCATCGCCCAGAGCCACCAAGGCATCAATCGGCAGGAGCTCAGCTTCGCGGCCTTCTCCTTCTACCACAAGCTGCGCGCGGCCGAGAAATATGCTCCTAAGGCCAAGTACCGTGGCAACGTCACTCTGCTGAGAGCCAAGGTGGGCAACGCCTACAGGGATGACCTGGGTGGCGACTACAACCTGTCCCAGGTGTGTGACGGCAAGGTGTCCGTGCACGTCATCGAGGGTGACCACCGGACCTTGCTGGAGGGCAACGGCTTAGAGGCCGTCATCAGCATCATCCACAGCTCCCTGGCCGAGCCAAGGGTCAGTGTGCGGGAGGGCTAGTCGCCCCTTGCATCCCATCAGACACCCCATCCGATGGCTTCCACCACCCACCCTGCCCCCCAACACCACACCCAGGCCGCGCCGGGCTGGGGAGGGTCCTGCCGGTGGGACCCCGCCCCGCGGCCCCGACCGTCGCTGTCCCGGGCCCACACCACTGCCCTGATGCACGCACAGCCTCCCGGGCCGCTGCTAGAAGTAGGGCCCTGGCTCCCGCACCGAGCGGGCCAGCCGGCTGACCCGGAGAACTGCCTGGTCTGTGAAGGGTCCCCCGAGGCCGGCTGTTCTCTGTGGGGTCTGCCGTGTGGGTTTTCGTATTTATTGTGTCGCTGGGATAGCTGCCCAGTGGCCTCATCCACTCCCAGGAAATGTCCAACACTGGGTCCAGGGCCTGGTTCCGGCCCCTGCACGGCAGGCCCCAGGTTCAAGGGCCCTGGCCGCGGTGCCCAGCTGTACCTATGATGCAGGGACCTGGGGGCATGCCGCCCCTGGCCGCTTTGGGCCCGGCCCCTGTGGAGGCACCTGAGCACCAAGTGTGAGTGTGTTTACGGACGAGTGTGAGCATTTTTGTTTTTCACGAACACGAGTCAAACTGCTGCTTGGAATTTGGAACTTCACTGTTACTGTCACGTCGAGATTCATGTCTTGTTTTTACATCACCTTGGTAAACGCTGCTCCTAAAGCCCTATCCTCCCAAACCTTCCCCCATTAAACCACACGTGAGCTCCGCTGTTGTGTCGGGTTTTCTCCCCCCACAGCCTGTGGCTGGGGGCGGGTGTAGGAGAAGCACCTCATGTCCAGGGCTGAGGCAGACACATTCCATGGACAATTTGGACTGAGGGCAGGATTGGGGTGGAGGGTCTGGGACCGCTAGGTCACATAAGCTCAGGAGAAGCAGATCTCAGGCCAAACACCAAGACACACCCCTACCAGGAATGCCAGATGCAGTTAGACCACCCCACTCCGCTTTAGGGGAGAAGGCCACCACCACCCAGCAGTAACTAGCCAACCTCAGGGTTTCAGAGAAGGCTAGTTGGGAGGCAGTAAGTAATAAGGCATTTCTTCCAGCCATGGTGTTAGCAGAACTGCCCCCTGACCCAGCAGAAACTGCAGTGATAACACCCCAACCCCTCCCCTGCTAAAGTGATGGCCAGGGGTCCACTAATAGAGAAGGTATATGATCCGGAGCCTCATAATAGCTAAAATGCCCAGCTTTCGAAGGTAAAAACCACATCTCAGACCAAGAACTAGAAACATCTCAACTTGAGTGATGAAAGACAATAGGCACCAACAACCAAGTGGATGGAGATGTTTCAGGGAAGCCGCCATGAAAACGTTCCCACAAGCAATTACAAACATGTTTGAAACAAATGGAAAATTGGCCTCAAAAAGTAACATGATACAACAAAGAATCAAAATCCAAGCTAAAAAGCTCAGCGGATGGGTTCGATAGCAGAATTGACAGGCCAGAGATAAAATTACCCAATCTAAACAACTCCCAGGATCACCACAGGACTATAAACCACAAGGTCGGTGGTTCAAACCCACCAGCAGCTCCTTGGGAACCCTATACAGGGTCCCTATGAGCCAGAACCAACTCAAGGGCAGTTAATCTGAACAACAGGAAATAGGTTGGGAATGGGTGGGTGTGATCAATTGGATCACAACAAATCATGGATAACCTAAAAGAATGGAACCCCAGGTATAAACCAAAGTGTAGTTCAAACAGGAGGCATACGACTGCAAGGTTTTAAGTCAGGAAACGTGTGTTCAGGTTGTGTCCCTTCACAATACCTATTTAGTCAGTATGCTGAGCAAATAATCCGGAAACTGGACTACATAGGATTGGAGGAAGACCAACAACTTGTGATATGCAGATGACACAACCTTGCTTGCTGAAAGTGATGAGGACTTAAAATCCTTAATGATGAAAATCAGACTCCAGCCTTTAATGAAGGTGTCTGCACTTTAGCAAAGAAAACTCCTCATGATGGACCCACAAGCAACATCATAATAAAGAGACGTCAAGAATTTCATTTAGCTTGGAGCGATATTCAATGCCTGTGGGGGCAGCAGTCAGGAAATCAAATGATGGATTTACTGCATTGGGCAAATTTGTAAAAGATACTTTTTAAGTGCTAAAAAGCAAAGATGTCACTTTGAAGACTAAGGTGCACATGACTGAAACCATGGTATTTTCAATTGTCTCATATGCATGTAAAAGTTGGACAAATAAGGAAGATTGAAAAGTAACTGATGCCTTTGAATTATGGTGTTGGCAAAGAATATACCACAGACTTTCAGAAGAACAAACAAACCTGTGTTGGGAGAAGTACAACCAGAATGTTCCTTAGAAGTCAGGATAGCGAGATTTCATCTCTCATACTTCGTCCACGTTACCGGGAGGGACCAGTCCCTGGAGAAGGACATTATGCTTGGTAAAGTAAAGGGTCAGTAGAAAAGAGGAAGACCCCCCCAAGGAGATGGATTCACACTGTGGACAGCCAAAGTAGGCTCAAGCATAGGAAGGGACGGTGAGGACTGGCTGGGCTATGAGAACCAATCTGATGGCCCCGAACAATACTGATTGTCAGACACAAAGCAGGATGAATGTAGGTAAAACCACACTGAGGTGCATCATCAAAAATCAAAAGAAAGAAGGAATCTTAAAAGTTGGGGGTGGGGTGGGGTGGGGAGCACATCCCGTGCAGGAAACCTAACAAGAACAGTTGCTGAGTTGCATCAGAATGTAAGGAAAAGCCATTCTCAAAGTGATGTAAAGAAAAAAAGTCAATACTGAATTCTGTGTCTGGGAAAAAATTCGTCCAAACTACAGTGATCAGTTTTATCAATTGTTCAAAGAGCCAGCTTTTGGATCCATTGATTTTTCTCTGTTGCTTTCCTATTTTCTATTTGAGGGATTTCCACCCCCTCCTTTACTATTTCCTTCCACTTTAGGGTTATTTTGCCCGTGTTGTCCGTGTCTTAAGGTGGAAGGTTGTTGTTGTTAGGTGCCGCCATCAAGTCTGTACCGAACCACAGTGATCCTCTGAACAAGAGAACGAAACACCACGCGGTCCTGAGCCATCCTCACACATGCTGCTGCCATTGTGCCAACTCATCTCGTTGGGGGTCTCCCTCTTTTTCACTGTCCTCCTCTTCAACAAGCATGATGTCCTTCTCCGGGGACTGTTCCCTCCTGATGACATGTCCAAACTATGAGAGACGAAGTCTGGCCATCTGGCGTCTAAGGAGCACTTGGGCTGTACTTCTTCCGACACAGATTTATTTGTTCTTCCGGCAGCTCATGATACCTTCAATATTCTTCTCCAGCACCATAATTCAAATGCATCAACTCTTCTATTCTCTTCCTTATTCACTGTCCAACTTCCATTCACATGCACATGACACTTGAAAATTCCATAGCTTGGGTCAAGCACACCTTACTCCTCAAACTGCCATCTTGACTCCTGAACACCTTGAAGAGGTCCCGTGCAGCAGATTTGCCTAGTGCAATACGTCATTTGATTTCTTGACTGCTGCGTCCATGAGTGCTTGATGGGGAATGCAAGCAACCCGAAGTCTTTGACAACTTCGATCTTTTCTCCAGTGCTGAGGATTTTTTGTTTTCTTTACATTGAGACATAACCCATACCGAAGGCTGTGTGGTCTTTAAAATCTTTCCTCTTTTTTTAACCACCACTAGTGTGTCATCTTGTCACATTGTGGTGGCTTGAGAGTTGCTTTCATACTAAAAGCTACGCCACTGGTATTTCTACCCACAGCAGACAGATTTCAGCTGGATAGCTTCCAGACTAGGATAGATTACAAAGAAAGTCCCGTCATTTCCTTCTTAAAAAATGGCAGGTGGAAATCTTACAAAGAGCAGTGGTTCATTGTCTGATTTCGTGCTGGGAGGTGAGTCCCTCAGGTAGGTTGGGAGACACTCAAAATATGACTTGGGGAGAGCTGCCGCCTCAAAGTAGGGCAGGCCTTCGTGATGTGGATGGGCTAAGGCCTTCAGGACCTTCATTCTCTGGTGTGTGATGACTCAAAATTTGAAGAAACAGCAAACATCCATTAATAAGCAGAGCATAGAATGTACAAAATATGAATCTAGAAAACTGGAAATTGTAAAAAAAAAAAAAACAGAATGGAATGGAATGCTTGAAGGCAAATATCTTAGGCATTAGTGGGCAGAAACAGACTGCTGTTGGCCTTTTTTTTTTTAAGGTTTTTATTGTGGATTGAGTGAAAGTTTACAGGGCAGATCATCAGTTTTACATTCAACAAATCATACCTTATTTCATTACAATGATTATAAACCCCTCCATGTACCATCAGTTACCAGTATTTTTCTCTATTCACTTTAGCTCTTTTTTTTTAAAACACTCAGGCATATATAATAATTTACACCACCAACGGGCACATTCTGCAAGTCTACGTCCTAGCCACTATCTCTTAGTCCCTCTCTGTCCATAAATCTAGAGTCGAGTCCTCAGCCACTCCCCCTTTCCATGTCCCCATCTCCGCCTCCATCTCTGGTGTCACTGTTTCTCTGGATAAGGTCCTGCATTCCACTCATGCTGTTCTCCATTGATGGTCCTAGGGTCCTCTGTTTCTGGACTGTAAGATTAACCACGCCCCCATTTTTATTACAAAATTTCTACCTTTACAATTGTGACAGTCGCAATTTGTCATGATAACAATTACTAATGAATCATAAGAATCTTATCTCCATCTCTTTTAACCAGACCCATCTAGACAAGATGAAAGCTTTTCAGTGGGGACGCTTTCTTCCCCCTCACACTATTAAACTAAACTCCCCTTTGACACCTTGTAAGCCAATCACTTCGTGACTTTATTGCCCCCTCATTTTAGGTAGCCAATGTCTAAGTTGCCCATCCCTATTTACCCTGTGTACAGACGGGATAGCACTGATACTTGATGTGAAGATGCCTTCCCTCTCTGTTGGTATTTAGAGTTACAACCTCCATGAGTCT